ACAAGCCAGGATCACTGGTATGCGTAGGTGAACCCAGTGTGTTCAGGTCTACTCAGGATCCAAACCCAGGCCTCCCAAGTGATTCCACTATTGTGCAGCAGGTACCCTACTACTTGGGCCACAAAGACTCGGTCTCTGAAGCACTACTCTTTAAACTCTGAATAGTGTCTGTAACCATAGACCATGGTGAGCCTATTTATATTAACTTTACACCCAGAGAGAGAATTTTAGCTTGCAATCATTTTAAATCTATGTACAGGTGTATTCACAGAGTGAAGAAGAAAGGTCTAGGGCATGAACAGAAATGCCATTCAATGTAATTAAGCCCACTGACCACTCATACCGATGAAATTTCATGTTTTACTTTACCAGAGAAATTAAAATCGGGATGGCATTACTAATGACCCTTACTTCTGATGTTTACATGAAGCCTCAGTTTTCATAGATGAGAATAAAATCTTGGCCCAGATGCAGAGGTACAGGTGGTAGGGCAGGGCTGTATGATGCTGGAGCTATTGAGGGGGGCCTCCAGGATTGACTCAAACATTTGATCCTGGCTGGCTGGGTGGCCGAATAGATTATTGCAGTGTAATGAGACCCTGCCAAAGGTCAAGAGTAACCCCCTCCCCAATAAATAAATAAATAAATAAATAAAAATTAAAAAAATAAAACCTTGCCATCAATAACTTCAAATGATAATAACTTGGGAGAAAATGCTAAGTTTTAATAAGTTATACCTGAAGTGACATTTCTTAAAAGTTAATTCAATACATGTGTTTTATCAAAATATTATGCACTAAATATGAATGTCTTCATGCTAGTAGAAACATTTATTTTATACATATGGCTAAAATTCACTCCCCATCAGCTTCCCATACCCTCTCCCCCATTTAAAAATCTTGAATTACTCTTTTTAAATGTGCTTTAAGAATAATTTTTGCTGTGGTTTGAATGTTTGTAGCTCTTACAAAAGTCATGTGAAAATCTAATGCCCAATTCAATGGTGTTAAGAGGTGAGGATTTTAGGTGATTAGGAGGTGATGGGATTAGCACCTTATAAGAGGGCTTGAGAGAGTGAGTTTGTCCCTTCCCTCCTTCTGCCATGTGTGGACACTGTAAGAGGCATCACCTTGAAAATAGAAAACATCCCTTAGTAGATACCAGATCTGCTGGCATCTTGATCTTGGACTTCCTAGCCTCTAGAACTGTGAGAAATTTCTGTTCTTTATAAATTACCCAGTCTTGGGTATTTTCATACA